GGCAGGCACCTCGGCGCGCGGGTACACTTCCCAATCTCTCCCCCCCCCCCCCCCCCCCCCCCCCCCCCCCCCCCCCCCCGCGGACTGGCAACTATGCCCTGTTGGCGAAAATGTAAAAAAAAGACCCACCCCCCCCCGATCGGCCTCAAGGGCCAGCGTCCTTGCCATACACAGCGGGCCGTGTTGCCTGGCGCGGACCGCACGCCGGGTCCCACCCCCTTCCCGCACTGCCTCCATGTCCGGCCGAGGGCGGGCCTCCGGACGCGCGCGCACACACACACACACATTCCTCCATTTCCTAGGAAATCCCACCTGCGGAGGTGCTGCCCGACGCCGGGCCGATCAGCGTGGCACCCGGGGCGGCTTTTGGCCCGGTCGACCGGTCAAGCCAGCACCCGGGTGAACCCCTGGCATGGGGGGGGGGGGAGGGGGCGTCGCCGCGGGGCGAGGGGGGGGGGCATTCCTTGGTCGGCGGACTTCGCCCATGCCTGGCAGCAGGGCTTCTCGGGGGGCAGGGAGGAAATATGTCAAGTCCCCCGCCGGGAAGAGAAGGTCGCCTCTCGGGCAGGCCCCCGGGGAAAGGAGGGGCCCGGGCGTGGGGAAGCCTGCCCGTGTGTGCGCCACCCGGCCGCACTATTGACCGATTGGCGAAAGACCCGCTCCTCCCATCTGCGTGTGACGGTCCCCCGTTCCGGAGGGGGGCGCGTGTATGGCGCTCCCTAGCGTTGGCAGCTCGATGCATTCGCCACCTCCCCTGGCAGAGACAGGCAGGGGCGTGGTGGACAAGACGGGAGCATGGAATCCCAGGCTCCCTCCGGGGATGGGGAGAGAGGGGCCAAAGCTGTAAAAAGCCACCATTCTAATGAGACCCATACATGCCCGCCAGCGTGCGCATGTGGAAAGGCTGACAACGGCCCGCCAAGCAGGGGCTTCCATTGCAGGGGATGGCTGGAATTTCCTCTTTACGGCGCGTGATCCAGGCGTGACCAGCTTTCTGGACGAGCCTCCAAGCCCCCGGTCGCGGCCGATGGCTGGGCTGCCCCCCTCCCCGCCATTCGGGCTGGCTGGGCGATCCCACGGTCAACTCTGGCGGCGCACATCACCGGGGGGGGGGGGGGGGGGCCGGGCCCTCGCATCATGCCCCGAGACCGAGGCGTCTTGCTCGGGCTCCGTCTGTGCTGAGCCCGGAGTGGAAGCCCCTCCCCCTTCACCGGCCGATAGACGGTCGATGCCGGGAAGAGCCGGCAACGTCCTACCGACACCGGACCCGCCCCGGAGTTGGGGCCTGGTTGAAGGGGCGGTAGGAGGCCCTGGCCTTCGTACCAAGGAGCGGGCCCCCTCCCGCCCCCCCCCTCTCTCTCTCCCCCCAAAATATATGGTTCAGGTGGTACAATCGGCGACCCTGCCCCCGCAGGCTTGTCGACCGGGCCTCGGCCATCAGGCTGCCCGGTCAATGCTCGCCGGCGCCGATACCCCGCAGCAAGTACTCGCCATTTTCATATTCGGAACAACTGGGCAAGGCCGTTGGCAGCGCCGGGAGAAGATCTCCGAAGCCCTCTGAGGAAGGGCTTTCCGATCATTTCCGGATCCTCGACCCCGGTCATCCGGTGCATGTGCGATGTCAGACGAATTGGCGGGAAGAGGCCAGGGCCACAGAGCGGCGGGCATTACGCGGGGTAATGTGCATGAAGCTGCTTCTGAAGGAGTTCACGCCGGGGAAAGACAATCGAGCCATCGCGCGGACCTGGCTGCTCCCCGGCACCCCGGTTCCTCCTGGCACCAACGTCGCGCGTGCATGGAGGCCCAGCTCCACATCGATGGCGAGGTAGTCAGCGAGCCTGACGACGGAAGGGGGGGGGGGGGGGGGGGCGGGGAAATGGAAATGCACATATCCACCAGTCCGCCTCACTGGCGGAGCGCCTCCGCAAGAGGCTGACGTGGGTATGCGGGCCAGGGGGGATTCGCGACGAGCAGTAAAAAGCCACACGATCCTCGCATATGGCCCAATCGTATGTCGCTAAGTCAACTCTCCCCAAACAATCATCGCTCCTATTGCTTCGCTACTCCATCATCGGCACCGAGAGCGAGATACATTTGACACCCAGCAAACGCGATGATTGGTTGTCTCCAGAGGTTCCCGGAAGTTGGTCGCAGGCCCCTGCCTCACACGGGTGGCCGAGTTGGATAGGAGTTTCTCTGGCACCTCCGAGACAAGGGGGCTGTTCAAGGGCCGCGGCCCACGGTACCTGGTCATCTGTGCACCCCCTGGCTTTGCCGGCCGGCCGGCCAGTCGCCGCCCCCCTCCCTCCAGTATGCGGCGATGCCGGGTGCTCCTGGTCAAATGCCAAAGCTGTGCCGAGAAAGAACAGCGCCGGAAAGGAGGAGGGAGTCCTCGAGTGGGAGCGAGCATTCTCATTCGAGACTTTCTCTTCGTGCATGCCTTGCCCGCCCGCCCGCCCGCCCGCATGTCTGCTCTCGCCTCTCGGTTCCGTCCTCGAAAGAGTTAAGGTCTCCCCACCGGCCATAGACCACAATTATACGGTCTATCCCCAGAACAAATCGAAGAGTGCTGCATTTGCAGACGATTCAGCACCAGCACCAACTAATACAGCATGTGACCGGAGTGCATCACACCCTCCTCTTACATGACCGGTGTTCGCGGGGACGCCCAAAACGCCCACCCCCGGGGTTGGACGGAGATCTACCGGTCGACTGTCACCTTTGTCTTTTGCTCTTGGCGGGGGGTGGGAAGTCCCGGCAGCGGGCGGTGAGACGAAAAAGCCCTCGCCCAGGACCGAAAATGGCCCATGTTCGCGCACAACAAAGGACTCTTCGTCGCTCTCTCACTTTCTCCAGCGGCTCAGCCAGGTTATCGGACCGACCGATATATCACGGGCGGGGGGGGGCATGCCTGGGGGGGGGCTTCCCCCCAACAAACACAGGGCACTCGCATTGACAGATATTGCGCGCGCGCGCGCGCGCGGACAGAGAGACCGGGGGGGGGGGGGGGGGGGGGGGGGGGGGGGGGGGGGGTCCGTCTTCCCCCTACAGACTCAAGGACACTCGCATTGACAGATATTGCGCGCGCGCGCGCGCGCGGACAGAGAGACCGGGGGGGGGGGGGGGGGGTGGGGGAGAGTGTCTAACACGGTCAGTTTCTGGGACTCGTCTTTTGAACGGCAGCACCTTGGTCGCCCTCCGGGTGGGGGATTGTCAACAGTCCCTCTTCCCACCTCCACCGCCTCTCCTCCCTCTTCCTTCTTCCTCTCTCCTCCTCCTTGCTCCCGCCCACCCCCTACCCCCTCGACACCCTGACCACCGATCTGCCTCCTCCTCGCCCGCCGCCTTCGATGAAGCGCCGCGCCGGTCACCCTCCCCACTCGGGCCCCGGCGGCGGTGGGCACGGCCCGAAGCGCACACGCTCCGGGCCACCTCCCGGGGACAGCTTTGCCTCGGGGCATCACGGGCATCAGCGCCCGTCTGGAGCCGGTCGCTCGGCGTCCAACCCGCCGCAGCGCCACCCCCAGCAGCGTCAGCAGCGCCAACAACATCAGCAGCATCAGCAGCATCAGCAGCATCAGCAACATCAGCAGCATCAGCAACATCAGCAACATCAGCAACATCAGCAACATCAGCAACATCAGCAGCACCACCAGCCTCCGCCGCAGCATCACCAGCCTCCGCCGCAGCATCACCAGCCTCCGCCGCAGCACCACCAACCTCCGCCGCAGCACTACCAGCCTCCGCCACCCCCACAACAACAGCATCATCATCATCAGCAGCAGCAACATCAGCAGCATTATCACCCCCCATCTTCGCTGTCCCTGCCCCCGCCACATGCCCACCATCAGCCGCTGGCCTCATCGCCGCCACCACCACCAACGCTGCCAAACCACCAGCACCACCCACACCACCCACACCACCCGCACCATCAGCCGCCGCCACAGCCGCAGCCGCAATCCCAGCATCAGCAGCAATATTCCCTCCCGCCGTCCGTTCCTGTGTCTGTGGCGCCTCCACCCCATCAGCATCATCAGCACCAGCAGCAGCACCAGCAGTACCACCAGCCGCATCATTACCAGCCGCCGCCGCCGCCGCCACCGCCGCCGCCACCGCCGCCAGCACAGCTGCATTCGCAGCCGATGTCGGCCGCAGTGCCCCTCCAGCACCATCACTACCCTCCGCAGCACCAGCAACATCCGCAACAGCAGCAGCAGCAGCAGCAGCAACAACCACAATACTTCACAGGGCCCTCGCCATCGCCCTCCGGACCGTTGCATCCGCCGCCGTCAGCCACACCCCCACCAGCGCCTCGGGACCCGACTCCAGGGCCTTTCGACCCGACGACCGCATACTCTCCGGATGCTGCGCCCTCGCACGTGGATGTCACTCGGCGCAGCATCACTCTGCGCGGCTTGGCGTCTTCGATTGTACGCCGCTATTGACATCCTCTCTCTCTCTCTCTTTCTTGCCCCTTTTCCCCGCACGCATGCACAGAAAACCCAAACACACGCACACACGCACACACAAATCACCGTGCTCACGCTCCTCGCGCTTCTCTGCAGAAGACCCCACACGACGTGTATGACCTGCTGGAAACGGCATCGCTCTCGGCGAACCCCCCACTCATTGGCGGTCCCATTGAGTCTGTCCGGGTGGAGCATGCTGGCACGGCCACGGTGACCTTTATGTCGGCGGTCACAGCGCACCTCTTCTTCAACCGATGCCCACATCATCGACAGCGCTTCCTCCCGGTTGCCAGCAGCCCCATTGTCCGGTGGAGTCCCGCGTCGGTGCCCCTCGCCCAAAATCACCTGGCCATGGCCCGGCATGGAGCCTCCCGCTCCCTGCTCGTGGTCAATCTCCCAGCCGGGCTTCTCATTGAGGCGGAGCTGCGCCAAGTCCTCGGGAAGTTCGGTGCAATTGACCAACTTGCCCTCTTTTCCAAGCACTACGCGGCGGTTGTGCACTTTGAGCAGCTCTCCGACGCCCTGGCCTGTGCGGCCAAGCTCTCGGCCGAGGTGCGCGCTGCCATTGCGCCGGCCGAGCCAGCCACCACCGACGCAACACCGGCTGGATCGGCCCCCACCGCCAAGTCAGCCGCCATCGGCTCGACAGCATCTGGGCCGGCGACGACGACGACGACGACGACGACGACGACGACGACGACGACGACTCTGCCGGAGGCCGCGGATCCAGAAGTCCTCGAGTCGACCCCCGCCGAGCCGACGGACGCTGGGGCTTCCACCTCCCAATCGGCGGCTCCCGAGTCAGCTCCTTCCGGAACGCCTCCTGCCAAGCCAGCTTCCTCCTCGGACGCCACCGCCGACGATTGTACCTCGTCGGCCCCAACTCCGGCCGCTGAATCGGCTTCGGCTCCAACCTCCGCACCGGCATCCATCGCCATGCCCATCCGGGGCTTTAGCCGTGGCCGACCATTGCAGGTATTTTTCGTGCGCGACCGTTGCATGGGCACCACCTCGATTGCCGAAGATCGTGTCGTGTATGTGGGCAACCTCGGCCCGGAGGCCGAGGCCCATGCTTTTGTGTCTGCCCTACTGTCCAAGCACGGTCCTGTAGAGAGCGTCCAGGTATGTCGCTATCACGGCTCCCCCGCTCCCCGCAAGTGGCATCGACCTTTCCTCCTCGCTGCTTTCCCTGTCTTTTTTTTTCTGGCTCACCCTCGCCCCCTCACCATTCCTCTTGCCGCCGCCGTTGCCGCCGCCGCCGCCGCCGCCGCCGCCGCTGCTGCTGCTGCTGCTGCTGTCGCCACCACTACCCCATCATGGGCGCTGTCAACAACGCACTGCCGCTGGCTTGAATAGTTTGTCCCGGACAAGCGCCATGCCTTCCTGTCCTTTGTTCATCCGTCGACGGCGGCCCATCTTCTGGCGACGCAGGAAACCGAAACCCAGGGCACCGATGTGCGCCTCGGTCCCGGCCGGCCCCGGTGCCCGCAGCTTGAGCCGCAAACCTACAAGTTCGCCAGCCCCCAGCTGATGTCCCACATGACAGTGGACACCATCAGCGCGATTGCCCTGCGACAAGCCACCCGCGCGGTGTACATCGGCTATGTGCGAGCGGCTCGTCCTTTCTCGCCATCCTTTTCCCCTTTCTCCCTCCCTCCCTCTCTCTGTCTCTCTGCCCCCCTCTGACATCGACCCGATTGATATGCCCCATCACAGCAATCCGAGGCCCAGGCCCTGACAGAGGCGGACCTTCGCGCAGAATTTACCCCCTTCGGCTTGGTGGACAAGATTAATCGCCCTCGCAACAAGAGTTACGCGTTTGTCTGGTTCTTCTCTGTGGCTGATGCAGTCCGCGCCATCGATTCCCTTCAATCGACGGCCAAGTTCTCATCTGTACGCTCCTGGCCTGCCTTTAAGCGTCCCTCCCTCCCTCCCCCCCCCCCCGACCCCCCATAAGGTCCCCCCTTCGTCCAGCTCTCCCTGTTACTGACTCGCCTCCCTCCTCCTCCCGTGCCGCATGTGGATTCCACTCAGATTCGCCTGAATTTCGGCCGAGACCGACAAACCGACCTGCCGGCACCAGCCAGCGCCGATCCCGATCTCGCCGTCCCGGCGGCTGCGTTTGACCCGCGAGTTCCCTCAGCCGCGGCCTCTGCATCGACTTCCACGCACCAGCTCTTCCCGTCACCACCGACAGCGTTGCCCCCTTCAGTTACACGTGAATCGCGTCTTCCGCCATCTCGGCGGACTTCATTGCCCGGGTCACACGGGACTCCAGGCTACCCTTCGGAGTCATCCGGCCCGGGTCCGGCACACCACTACCACCATGGATCCTCGCGGCCGCAGGGGCCGCCATTGGTGCAGCAACACCACCAGCACCAGCACCAGCACCAGCACCAGCACCAAAACCGTTCGGGTGAGTATCACGCAGGTCCGGCAACGGTGTCGGTCCATGGTTCTGGCCAGCCGGCAGGCTCCGTTGCTAGCCAGAGCGGTTGGTATGATGATCGGCCGAGCTCCAACCCGCACTACCCATATTATGATGCCCCGGGACATCAGCACAGCCACCAGCAGCCGCACCCGCACCAGCAGCAGCCGCCGCCTCCGGGGCCCGTGCAGCAGCACCAGCAGCAGCAGCATTATCAGCCGCCGCCGCCGCCGCCGCCGCCGCCACCACCACCACCGGCACCGACGCAGCAGCAGCACCAGCCCCCTCCTCCCCCGCCGGCCCATCGCCATACCTACTCCGGTGAGTATTATGGTGACGCCCAGCCTCCCCCTCCTGCCCCTTCTGCTCCGGTGTCGCACCTTGGCTCGGGCTTGCCGCCGCTCGCCCACCCCCCCGGCTCCCAGGGGCATTATCGCCACTCGCCGAGCGTTCCTCCCCTATCGGATTACCCTGTCGGGGATCGCGGGTATCCCGGGCCTGATGGTGCACCTGCCTCATCGGCCGGGCTGCCATCACACATTCAGCCGCTCCTTGCGCCGGCCCCCGCCATGGGACCCGGGTCGCGTGGTCCTCGTCCCCCTCAGGGTGGCTCCTTCCACTTGGGCCAGTCGGTGGCGCCCTTCTCCACCCCGGTGCCGGCGCCGGCGCCGCCACCGTCGGCGCCGTCGCATGAGCCGCACGCTTTTGAGAGCGGTGGATTCCCACCGCACTTGGAGCATGGGCCTCTGTCCGGGGGCGGGCACCATGGCCACCCCCCGTCTCCCGGGCACCACTTCCACCACCCTCCGCTGGCGTCGATGCCGGGGCCACCACCGCCCCCGGGGCAGCATATGGGTCATCTCCAGCCTGCACCGCCGGCGCCCTCGCCAGTGCCCGCATCCCACGCGCCGCCCCCTCATCTTGCGCCCTCGCCGCAGTATCATGCTCCGCCCTCGGGCGGGCCTGTGCCGGGGTTGCCCGCCGCGCCGCCCCCCGTCCACCACTCCCACCAGGCTGTCCAGCACCACCATCCTCGCCATCAGTCGCAGCTCCAGCAGCCGCTGCAGCCGCGCCACGGCTCGGGTGCTGGCCGACGTGGGGGCCAGTCCGGGCAGTCCGGGCCGTCGTCCGGGCAGTCCGGTCGACGTGGAGATCGTCGTGGCATTGGCCGGGCATCGGGACCTGGGCATTCAGCTCGTGGGCCTGGCGCCTCGGCTGCCACCGGGGCAGGAGCAGGTAAGGCCCGAGCTGGCCGGGCCGGTCGCGCTGCTGCCACCCCGGCGAGCCAAGAGTCCCAGCCGAAAAGCGACGCACCTGCCTCGAAGCCGCATTCCAGCTGAAATGGTCCCCACTCAGGCGGACACTGGGCCTAATCCTGTGCCTTTCCTCCACCCCGTCGCCTTCGTCCCTGTGTGTCTCTTGCTCCCCCCCTCCCTTCTTTTTCTGTCTGTGTGTCGGTGTTTGTGCAAATTATGCGGCCGTCTGCCTGCTCTTTTGCACGTTTATGTGTTTTCACACAGACGCACGGACACACGGACGCACGGACACACGCACACACGCACACACGCGCACAACTCTCCTCCTCCACAGCATGCATTCTTCGCGGCCGATGGCAGAGCGCCCTTGATCGCAGTCACCCTCCTCTACCTCCTCCTCCACCCTCTCTCTCTCTCTCTCTCCCGCCCAATCGTGACTGCTTCTCTTCCTTTCGCGATGGAGTATCTGGTTTCTTCCGATTGCTGGTGGTACTCGGCCTCCTTTCCTTTCACCGACCACCTTACCCTCCCTCTTTCCTCCCTTATCATCCTACCTGGACATCGTCCCTTGCCACTGTACGTCGCCCTTTTCCGGCTCCCCCCCCCCCTCCCTCCCCTCCGTGCTCTGCGGGGTTGCTCTCCGCACCCTCGGCACACGGTCGGATAGCCATTTTCTTCCCTTAGCCCACCTGATCGCTCCTGGCCGCGAAGGCCATTTGTCAGTGTGTCCCCCTGTGCCCCGACATGGGGCTTTCCCCTAGTTTGTCCTGTTGAGCGCCCTGCTTGTTACTTTGCAGACTGCCTCTCCCCCTTTTTGATGTTTACCTGCGGGCCAAGGGGTGCCACCGTCGGTGGGTCTATCCCCCTCCGGGGGGTTCTTCTCCCATTTTTCTTCCCCCTCCCGACCTTGCACCTGCGCCTGGCTGCGTGCCCGTGCTATCACGGTCTTGCTTGCGGGTCCATACCTGTTTCTCCTCGTGGAGAGGGGGTCCTTTACCCTCCCGCTCCGACCATTGTGGATTAACACCCTTCCGCCCTCGAAACGGCGCGCACCCTCTGTCGCGCTTGCCCAATGCCTTGTTTGTGTGCCCTGCCTTTGGTGCTGCCTCTTCGCGGGGGTCAAAATGGTGATGGTGCTTCTTCTGCATCGTTCTCCGCCGCCCTCCTCTCCTCTTCTTCTTCCTCTCCCCGCCCCCCCCCCCCATGTCTTGCTCCCTCCCTGGCCGCTATCTCCCTCTCTCTTGTGCCAATAGCGCCTCTCCTTCCCATGAGGAGTAGACTTGTCTGTGGTCGCTCCGCGCGCCACTGCACCTACATGCACACAGTTTCCCTCCCCCGCCCTTGTGCACATACATGCATAGTAGCAAACATTCTTGCCGATGCGCGCACCGAGCGTGCTCATACGCGCACGCACACCCATCGGCGCCCTCATTTCCCCCCGCGCATGTACACGCATGTGTGTCTGTCTTCCTGCGTGTGTATGTCCGTGTGTTTCGTATGTCCCTGTGTGGCGCCGCGCCGCACGTTGGCCGCTCGACCGGGGTGCGCATTTAGCCCCCTTTCTCGGTTAAATTAATCGAGCGCAAATGGTGTTCCCACATGAGGAGCCTTGTGTTCATTTTCCTGGGTGTGGAGGGAGCGAGAAAGAGAAACATCCACAAGGCTGGGCGCCGTGTGTCTCGGGCGGCCGGAGGGCGAGGGTGTCTGGGGGAGGGTGCCACCTTGAGCACGTATATCGCTGAATGCCCGTTCCGGCGGGGCGGGGGGGGGGGGGGGGGCCCCCTCTGCGGCTAAGTGCCAATGTGTGTGCGTCCTCTCGCCGGATCAAGGTGCATTGAGAGTGGCACGAGGGACAGGCAGAGGGTCGGGGCGAAATTCGGGGCGGCGCCTTATGTTTTTTATTTTTGTCCTCCTCCCCCCTGCGGAGTCGCTTCCGGCAGAGGGGACGTTGGAGGGAACACTTCAGAAGAATAATTGAAATCCAGGCACTGTATAGGCGGCTGCGAGGGGGGGGGGGGGGAAATAATTCCGCCCTTGTGGATGGAACCCCCCGGCTGGGGGCCGGCCGGCCGGCCGGCCGGGGGGGGGGGGGGTGGAAAATAAAATTAGATAAAAAGGGGCGCGCGCCGTCCGTGTGGCCGAACAATAATACATCCCTCCTCTTCCGCGCGAGGGGCAGACTATCCCGGCCTGTGAGGCTCTAGAACGGCCGACGTGGCGGCGGCGCACACCTGAGCGCCGTGCCCAGGTCGGGAACTGCATTGCCGCCAGACGGGGTCCCCACCTCCAGACCGATCCCGCACACGCCTGGCCACCCGGCGCACGATGCGCTCGTGTACGTGTGTGTGTGTGTGCGCTTGTGTGGACATTTATTTGTGTTTCAAACCGCCAAGCTGGTGTATTTTATCCCCGCCCGGGGGGAGGGGGGGGGGGGGGGACATCAACACCGAGGCGCTAAAAGTCATTTCCTGTGCGCGCCTTCTCTACGGTGCGCTTTTGCTCGTCGCCAGTGGCCGGGCCCCCGGTTGACGCCGATGCCCGGAGCAGGGCATGCTCGTGACCGGCTCTGCCCCACGCGATAAACACATGCCGGGAGGGCGAGAGGGGGAACTTGGAAAGACGGCGGCCCGGCGGCCCGAGCTCGGATGCCAGTGGTCTAGGGCGGAGCGCGATGGCGCTTGACACGTCCTGCACATTCGTGTGGGGGCCCTGTGGCCGGCGCGGCCGAGGAGAGGGTGCTCCACCGCGGCCGCCCACCGGTGAGGTCCGATCGCAGCGTCTGCCGTTGCGCCGGAGGCCGGCCCGGCCGTGGTGACCGCCGGCAGGGCCCTTCGGCCGGGGTGCATGTGGGCAACCGCATGCGCAAATGTGCGAGAATGACGCGACAGTGGAAGAAATAACAATGTTGCATGTTGTTCGGGGTGCCGTGGCGTGTCGGCTACTGTACTTGTAGGCGTTGCCCCCTCCGCCCCCTCGCCCCCCCCTGTAGGTCGACCCTTCTTTGCCCGTTCCCTGGTCGTGCTCGCGGCCTGGAGGGGGGGGAGGGGGGGGGGGGAGGGGGGATCCAGTGGCCAGTTCTTCGGAGGGACCCCGTTTCCTAGTTTTCCGCCCGAGCCCCGGCCGCGTCGCATGATATTCTCCTCGGCTAATGGATGCCCACTTCTTCCGGGCAATTTATCGTGGTCTCCCCCGGAGCCGGGGCCATGACACCGCATGCAACCTCCCCCCCCCCTCCCCTCCCCCTCCTCCCTTCTCTTCTCCCTCCTCCTTTCCTTGTGCTCTCCATGAGCGCTATGCGTTCGCCGCTCGCCCTCCTGGGGCTTCTGCTGCTCGGTCTCATTTTCTCCGTCTCGGCCAGCCCGCTGCCCACCATCACCATCGATGGCCTGAAGGCGACCCAGGTTTCGGCCAACGACCTGTGCACTTTTGCGCTGGAAGATGGCCGCAAGATCGATCTGAATCCCCTCGCCAGCAAGTGCGTTCTCTCTTTCTTCCGCTCCTCCCTCGTCCCTCTTCTCTCTTCTCTCTTTCCTCTGCTGCTTCCTCCACACTCTCGCCCTCCTTCTTCCTCCTTCTCTCCCTATCTTTCCCCCACGCCGTCTACAATCCTCGGCCCTCCTACTGCTCCTCCCAACCGTCTCTATGCTCCCCCTGTTCCTTGGCATTAACCTGCCTCCCTCCCCTGCCACAAACACAGGAACTACCTTCTCCCGGCAGGCGCAGGCAACATGTACTACCTCAACCCATGCAATTTCCTGAACAAGGCTCCGCTGGAGATCCCGGAGAACGATCCCGCATGCCCGGCGTCCTCTGCCTACGCCTGTGAGCTGGACGCCCGCAAGGCCCCTCTCAACACCCTGTCTACCGTCCACAATGGTGTGACCCCAAACCCTGGTGCGTGCTCGGGTGGCCTATCATCGGCTGGCCGCTGGCCGCTGGCGCTTGCGCCTCCATTCTCCAGCTGACCCCCACCCGTCCTTCCTTCTATTCCTCTCTCTCTCTCTCCCTCTTCCTGCGGCTCTCCTTCCATGCCGCCCCCCTTAAAGCCGTGGAGGGCCAGTCCAACCTCAAGCAGTCTGGCGGTACCGCCTGCCGGAACAACGTCATCCGTAGCCTGAACATCGCTTTCACTTGCGCCTCAACCGATGTGCGTCCATCTTGCCCCGGTTGCCCACTGCGGGATGCCCTCCGCGCCGGCCCTGCTACTTTCCCCCTCGACTCTCTGTTTTGTCGCTC